ACAGTTTGTTATCAAGACGCGCCCTTCCCATGTGCTATTTAAGTCATCCCTGCCCAAGTAGCCGTTTCCCTCGGTGGCTTTCCCGGTGCACTCAGCCTGCCCACAGTGCAGATGGAGCCTGCAATCCTCGCAGCACCGAGACTCTCCACCCTCCCTGATCCTCCCCAAAGAATGGCCACAAATTAGCAAGCAAGGGCTGCATGTTGTCACCAGCAAGAGGGTTGATGCCTGGCATGGCTTTCAATTAGTCAAGTGTCATTATACCGAGCGCGGGGCCACGCTCAGCTCCTTGACCTCTGGCTTCCCTCCTGCGCCTTCCCTCTTGGGATGCTGGCATGGCTCTCAACCACCCTCTTGGCACTGATCTTTTGTTCTGGCATGGCTGAAAAAAGGCTTTTGGTGGCACCCGGACTCTGCGTGATAGGCTTGTTTTCTTTGGCCACATCACGCTCCCTTAAGACAGGACTGGCTGTATTGGATGGCAAGTCCTGGATCTCCCTCCTTGGAGAGCTGCTGAGCTTTCAGGGAGAAGTGCCACTCAGCTGCAGGGTGCGATAGGCAGGCAAGTGGGGGGGTGACCTGGGAGACAGATGTACGGCATGGAGCTGGAGGTCAAGAAGAAGCCTGCTGAGAAGAGCAGAGAGAAAACACAACCTGGCCTCAGAGGTGACAAAAGGTATTTCCTAGGAAGGCAGTGGGGATCACGCAGAGTTTGCTGGAAGGGGTAAATTCAAGTTGGCTGAAGACTGACTGGGGTGCAAGGAGGTGGTGGGAAGGGGATGTTTATTCCAGGCTCTTTTTATTTCTATTCTGCTAGTCCTGGTCCTTTCTAATTTTCTATACTTTGAAAAGGGAAGCATCACACCTCCTGTTCTAACAAAACCTGCCTTTCTGGAGGTTAAACACCTTTGGTCTTTTTAGGACACTCATTGCAAGAGAAAGGTCCAGGAAACTGCCTCCGAGCACGGGCTGGCACTGGCTGCTCTCTTTCAACCAACCTTCTCCTAAGAAGAGAGGTGGTCTGTCTCTCGGAGCTCCTCTTTGCACCGTGGTGTCTGGACTGCTGATTGCTGTGTTGGTGGGACTGAAAAGATGACAACATTACAGTGAAATGCAAAGGGTAAACCTGGGTAGTCTAAGGTCAGCATCAACCTGGGTAGTCTAAGGCCAGCATCAACTTGGCCAATGCAGAACACAAGGCCATGGGCCCAGGAGGAACTGCAGAGGATCCAGCCAAGGGTGACTGAGGCAGCCTGGGGCACAGAGCGAGCACATGGAGAGAGCTGGGCTGGCTGAGCCTGCTAATGAAAATGTTATGGGCGAATTTAATCGCAGCTACAACTGCTCAGAGTTCCATTAAAAGACAGTGGAAACTCACTCTTCCCAGCAGAGGCATGTGGTGCAACAAGGGGCACAAGCCACAAACCAGGCTGGAAATTACGAAAAACATCTTTCCCAGGAGGCTGACAGAGTCCTGGAACAGGTTAGCAGAGAGGTAGAGTTTTCCAAGACTCGGCTAGAAAAAGCCACAGCAGATCTACTCTTGGTGACAGTCCTGCTGCAAACAGGAGGGTGAGTCAGAGACCCTAGATGTCCCTTCCACAAACCCCGATGTGATCCTGTGGCCCAAATCAGGCACGGCAACATGACTCTGTGGAAGTATCTCTTGTCCAACTGTCTTGATTTTTTTCATGAACTCAGGAGTTCAGCAGAATGCACAGACTTAAAGTATGTGAGACACTGGGCTCAGCATAAGCATCATCTGCAACACATGAAATTGGTTTTAAACAAGGCTGGCACTCAATGGGGACTCACATGTGTCCAGCACAGTGGAGGCAGCACCTCTCCTTAAAATTATTAGAGATCTGGGAGACGATATAAAAACAAATCGTTCATAAAGTGTACAAAATGGCAGTGTTGGGAATGACAACTTCTGTGCAGAGCAATAATCATGGTTTGATGGCTGAGCCCATGAAAGCGATCGTAAGGTTGTGCTTGTGCCTGGAAACCAAAATGCAGGTCTTGCCTGCAGAATGGGAGACTGCATCAAGGGAAGCAGCATCTGAAGGGACAAAGACAGAAGCCACCGGGGAGGCAAGAGCTGCCCACATGGCTGGGTGAGGTAGCACTTTACACTTGGGTGTGTAAAGGGAACAGTGAGAACAGCAAGGAAAATGGTTTATCTGCAGTAGACCTGCTATTGGGTACAACACCTAGTTCAAAAAACTATGATGAAGAATACAGATGTTTCCACAAAGAGCTGAGGGACGATCCATGTTCTGGAAAGCCACCTCATAGCAAGAAAGGATGATTCAGCTTGGTGTAATTACCCCTTATTTTTCCTTGAGGGAAGCTACCCGCTGCCTGTGTCTATACGAGGAGAAATGTCCTGCTACCACAACACAACAGCAAAATAAGTTATGTTGATGTAAAGGCCAATGTTAGTGAAATCCAGACCTTGTTGGAGAAGGGTACAACAGTAATGACTGCGGCCATCTTTGTCTGGGAGAACAAGAAGGTGAATGGTGTGTCACCTTCTTTGATCTCAAGTTTTCTTTTTGGGATGATGGTCACCATACAATCACACTCCCCAGTGCCACTCTTCTGGTCACACTCAGTACCTGCCCTCTGGTTGCTCTACAGGGATCATTTTCTTACTCTCTCATAGCAGCTTTTTCTTGGGATGCTGAAGAATTTATGATACCTTAAGGTTAAAGATGCTGCTGGTGATGTGGCATCTCTCCTCAGTCCCGAAACAACCAAGCACAGGCGGTGGTCCCTCAACAGTGCTCCATTTATGCCTGGCTGAACCAGGGAGATTTTGCCTTGCTTTCTTCAGGGCTGGGAGGTCCCCAAAGGCCAGCGTGGTGGGCACTTTGCGGGGAGGCCATTGTCCATCTGTGGCAGGAGCACAACCCCATCATGTATTTGGTCCTCTGCTCTGCCTGGGATGGAGCGCTAGCTGGCTGCTCAACCCAGAGCAGAGGCAGAGGGAGGCTGTAATCCTTACTTCTCCAGGGTCATCCGTCCCCTCCCTCCGCACGCTCTCCTCTCCCCACAACACCCTCCATTCTCCTGTCCCAGCTCTGCCTTTGTGTCTGCAGCTTCTGTTACCAACTGCTAATGATCTACATCAAGGCTGCCAGGCCGTGCCAAGCATAAGCAGAAGAATTCAGAGCCTCTAATTACAGAGGAATTAGCAAGCAGACAGTTACTGTTTAGTGCTAATGAATAGATACATTAAGAGAGACATCACATAGGCTGAGAAGTGTGAGCCCTGATAATAAAGGAGTGTCAAACAAGGAAAACACAAGGAGGAGGATCCAGGAGACTGAAAAGGATTTGCCTGCAACTCAGATCTCTGGTTTTGCTAAGGTGGAAGTAGCCACAGGCGCTATAAACACACCATATAACTGTAAAGTGCAAAATCAGAGCACCAAGTAATTCGTCTATAGCGCGAGACCATGCTGGGGGGGGTGTGCAGAGCCCCTTCCCAGCCCTAGGCAGCATTGCAACCACTCCGTCTTCATCAGCCATCTCTGTAAAGGAAGCTTCAACAGACCACCATCCCACACCAGTTCCTCTCTCCTCATCGTGCATGGATGTGTTCCTGCTCGCAGTCAAATCACAGTTCAATGCTCTGCTAAATCTGCCTTCAGGGCTTCTGATACAGTATTGAAAACACTGTGACACTGCAGATCCCAAGATAACTTAAGATCAGAGGTCACTCTGCTGGTTTATGTGTAACCAAGACATTTTTGCAGGTTACCTCTGTCTCTGCTCTGCATGCCCAATCAAGTGATGCCTGTCTGCACCGCTGCTGCTTTACCCCAGACCAAACACCTCCTGCACACGGCACAGTCTCCAGGCAATTCAGTGGAAATGCAATCATCCACAATTGCTAAATTCGGTCCTGAAGGTCATGTAGTGTCCAGGGCAGCCTGGGACATATTTGCACAACCCCACACATTTGCTGCAGTGCTCAGAGGGACCACAGAAAGTTGCTTGCTCCCACACATGCTTGTACCTTATTGGCATGCTTCCACTGTGCAATTGGATTAAGCAAAGCCCCAGCCCCAGTCTGTTGCTTGAGCTCCAGATGGCTTCCAGGTGGGCTGGGGAGAGCAGCCCCTGACCAGCAGCTCTGCGGGGCATCCTACCACTAGCACAGCTGCTGCCTGGGGGCTGCTGGTGAATCTCCCAGGAGCAGCACTACCAGCCACCCCGACATGTCCCTTACCCCAACAAAACCACCCTGCACAGGGGAAGCATAGCAAACTGCCAAGCCAGCACAGAGCTGGAGACCCTGAATGAAACCCTTCCAGCTCTGCTGCTTAGTCTTCTTCACCAAGGTGTCTCTGCAGCGACACAGGACCTGGAGCAGATTTCCAGGTGGTCATCCCACATATCCATCTCCCGGCCCCTCTTCTGTGAAGCTTCCCTTGGCTTTCACGGCCTGTCCTGGCTTTCTCTGCAGTCAGAACAGAGACTGCTGCTTGTGTCAAATGCTGGAGCTAGTCTTACCTTCCCTCCCCAGGAATGAGGAGCAGTAGCAGGGGCTGCAGCAAGGCTGTCAGCAGCATTGAGCACTGCTGCTGTGTCTGCAACACACCAACGGTGCATGCAACTGATGCTCCAAGGCAACAACCTCAGAAAGAGTCATGCACCCAGCGCGGGGGGACTGTGACATGAGCTGTTCTGCCGCAGTGATGGGGAGGGTAGCTCTGCCTTGGGGCACACTCCCGCCTTTCACTGAAATAAGAGATATTTTTCACACCCAAGGCTTGGGTTTCATGCAGGAATTGCCAGGCCCATGCACTTTAGTCATCGTCAGTGTTACGGAGCAAGCGACACCATGCCACATCTCATCCCACCTCTTCTGCCCTTCAAGCCCCATTCAACCCACAGGGTTTCACCCAGCACCTCTTGACCAGGAGATCCCTGCCTACCACCTCCCTTTCCTGGAGAGCTCTGCTGGGAGACATAGGTCCGTGTCTTACCAGCCTGGTTGGTGGTGATGTTCACTGATGCAAACTGTGGGGAGAAGGGGCTCTGGTCGGTGACGCCATTCACTGCCTGGATCTCAAAGGTGTACTGGGTGTGGGCCAGCAGGTCACTGATGTAAATGCGGGGCTCCGTCAGGCCCAGCTGGCGAGGGGCAAACTGCACGTTGTCCCCGCAGCGTGTGCATGCCCCACGGCCGGAGCCACAGCTCTTGCAGATGATGTTGTATACCAGGTCCTCCCGTCCCCCCGAGTCCCGCGGCGGGGTCCACTCCAGCATCAGAGAGGTCTCATTTACACTGGAGATTACAGCCTGAGGGGCAGATGGGATGGCTGTAAAGGGAATAGATAGAAAGGTGTAAGAGCCAGAGCCCTGCTCATCACTACAGGACCCACCGCACCCCCTCCGTTTCCCCATCCCCGGACAGGACTCTGCAGCAGGCACACGCTGAGCTGGGTGCTTCTCTTGGTGTCAGGGATGTGCGGAGCAAGCTGGACAGCCAAAGGCAAGAGCGGGAGCAAAACCTGTCCTCTTAACCCAGGCTAATTTGATTATGTGGCATCCCTGGCAAAATTCACCAGTTATTTTTTGAAGCATTTCTGATTCCTGGCCTTTGCACTAATCTCCTGCGTGCCAACATGCAGGTCTTCTCATCTCAGCATGGCCCCAGAGTGAAGTCATCCTACTGCCTAGAACAGCACAAAACAACTCAAATTCTGTCCTCTTTGTATGTGCAATGTTTGCAAGTGCAGAGTGGTCCAAGGTAAGAAAGACCCACAACTGCAAGGCTCCTCTGGGCAAGGTGCTCTGAGCCCCCTAGCCTCCTCCAAAACCCCACTGAGACGGATGCCTTTGTTAAGCATCTCTTGGTGCTTTGACTGATGAGTATCTCCTTTCCCAGACGTGTGCAGCCCCTCCCCAGTTGCCCAGAGCCCACATACTGGTGCATGGCATGTCGACAGGATCGGCATCTGCCCGGTAATATCCATTTCGGCACACACAGTTAGTGGCCCCTTCCGAAGTCGTCCGGCTGTTAATCGGGCAGTGGACGCATCCTTCATCCCCTTGGCTGGCCTTAAACGTCCCTGATGGGCAGCCTGGAAAAGAACCAAGAGCAGTGGTAAGCAGCAAGGACAGGGGCTGGCAGGGATGCCTGGAGCCTGGCAGCATTGCCAGAAAACACCCTTCAGGGTTTTGCAGAGTCCAAAGCCAAAACATGACAATTTGAAGTAAACAAAGTGGAGAAGGAGCAGCTGGTTTGAAGGCTCTGAGGAGGCAGGCGCTGCTGCTCGTGCTGCCTGCAGAGATGGGGAGAGGTCTTTCCTCCCTAGTCCCCAACCACAAGCACAGAACAGGGTCCACTCAGGGAGTCTTACGAATGCAAAGGGGATTTTTAGCCACCATCACATAAGAAGGTGCGAGTGGCTGTACCAAGTCAGATCAAACGTCCGCTGTCACCAGAATCCTTCCCCCAACAGTGACCACCCAAGGAGCGGTGCACAAGCCAGGCACACACATTGCCCACAATACCTTCCCAGTCTCCAACAATTTATAGCTCAGGGACTTTCTAAGAGGCACACTCTTTGTATTTAACATCCCTTGTGGGATGTTTCTTCCACCAAGTTACCCAGTCATTTTTTTATTCCATGCAAATGTTTTGCACCCATTTTATCCTGCAGCACAAAGCCCCATAGTATAATTGCACATCGCATGAAGAAACTGCTGCCCTCTTCCTTGAAGCTGCTTGCTGCCATTTCATTTGATGCAATCTCACACTTGCATTGGCAGTGAACACTCGGTCACCATCCATCTTCTCCATGACCTCTAGGGTTGCACAAACCTCTCTCATATCCCAAGCAAGCTGCATAACAACATTCACTATTTTATCCTCTACTCTTTTCCCATAATTTGCAATGTCCAAATTCTTTTTTAACCACCAATGTACCAACTGGGCTACCTATTATAGCCCCAAGGTCTCATTCCTGAGAGACATCGGGCCATTCACAGCCTATCTCTGTGCATGTGTGTGTGAAGTTGAGGTCGTTTTCTCCCATTTGCATCACCTCAGGTCTATTGAATTCCAATTGCTTTCCCATTCCCCAGTCACATCGTCCCATAAGGTCCTGTTGCAACTCTCCATAGCCAGTCCTTGTCCTCACTACTCAGTATCATAAGTAAACTGTCACTTCTGCCATGAACAGCAGCAGCGTACTGGGGTCTACCTCCACTGGGGCTCACACCTCTAAGCGAGTCACAGATGAAGAAGATGCTCCATTAGCAACAGCTGCTCAAAAAAATGCGTGTTCAGCCAGGCAGGGTGGGTGAGGGTGGCATGGGGGGTGCACAGTGCCTACAGCAGATGAGTGGTGAAGGCAAGACCACAGTGTGAAATACAGTAGTAACGTATACGGCACAGGTGGCTAAAAATACCACTGCAAAGCTTTAAACACCAGAAAGTCCTTCCAAATCAGGAGATCACCAATGCCAAAGCAAAAGCTCAGCTATAAGCATTTATCGGCATGGTTCTCAGTGATTACTCTTGGTTGCAACTTTCCGCTACTGTTAATTTCTTGTGCAGCCCGAAGAGCCTGGAGGGTGGCAGGTGGTTTCTGCACTGAAATGAGTTAAACAAACTTCTACTTCAGTTTGCTGCCAAGGCTTTCAGGAACGAGGCAGATCAGAAAAACAGCCTGGGAAAAACATACGCTCGAGGTCGCTGTAAGCAAGAGCTATTACTAAGAAGTATCTATTTTTTTCTTTTTTTTTTTTTAAAAAAAAAAAGGTGGTTTTTTCAGTTTTCATCTCCCTTCGTTCAAAATTATCTTGAATTTCCAATGAGAAAAGCTCTACAGAAAAATACCATCAGCTTTCTTGCTTGCAAAGTCCCTTCTGCCTCCTACAGTCAAAGGAAAAACTGGTTTTCCTCATGTTCTTGGATCTTTCCACTCTCACTGTCCCCTATCCCCACACGCTTGACTCCATTTCTGACCCTATTCCCAGCATGTCCCTCAGTACAAACCCATCTCAGAGGGTGTTAAGCTGTTGGGAGAGGTGATGGCTGCATAGTTCTCCATTACAGAGAAGTGATGGTGGCTCTGTAGCTGAAATGATAACAGGGTCCCTGTACTAATACCAACTTTTGAAACATGGTAAGATCAACACATGAAATTGCTCTAGTCTGACATCCAGGGTGAAATACAGGGTCATTTGATCAAAGATGTTTTAAGACACGAGCCTGTTTCACCTTCCTGAGGCTTATTTTAAAAATAACTACTTTCCTATACGGCTTTTTCTGCATCAAGATAGTGATACATCAAAAAAATGCCTATGCTGCTGAGATTTGGCAACTGGCCCCAAGAGACAAAAAACATTCCCCAGGTTTGGCCTGGCACAGGCTGATGGGTGCAATTAATACTTCTGCATGTGCTAGTCTTACACCAGGACAAAAATTGGGGGCTGAATGATTGCTCACCAAAAATACTGAGCTGGGATGCTAAAACTTTTTATATGTGCCATCAAAACACAGTCAGAAGTTTCGGCAACTTTTGTCCTCTCCAGGAGGTGCCGCACACTGACATGGGATAAAATAATCCTGGAAAATCACAACTTCTCCAAAGATAAATGTTCTGAAATCGTGCTGAAATACAGGAAAATCACTGATATTTGATGCAAAGTCCTTTTTTTTTTTTTTTCCTCAAGTAATGACAACCTCCAGAAGCAAAATAAACGAACATTGTATTCAAAACTGTTTTGTTCCCTCCAGATCTTCCTCTGGGTGAGAAAACAGCTTTCAATTTGGAATCCACCCAATTTCTTGTTTCCAGAGTAAACAGCAAATCAAAACTGAAATCTTCACATGGGGGCTAAATCCCCTCCTGTTTGAACAGTGTGGATGTTCTCACCACTTGCTGGAAGACATGAAGACACCCCAGTTTTCTGCCCCAGGTGGTGACAGCAGCTTTGGGACATGCTGCTTCCCCTTAGGCTTGCAATGAGAGCAAGGGCAGAGCATCCCTAGAAACTCCTGCTTGTAAAGAGGGAATTGAAACAGTGAAAGCACAGAAATTTCACTTTAAAAGCACTTTATCAGAGCATCCTTCATCCCAGGAGGGCAATTACCATGACAGCGGCTCTGGCCCCATCACTGAAGCAGGAGTGGTTTGCAGCTTCCCACGTGGTAAGTTCCCGCATTCCCAGCACCAATCAGAGGATGCTAATAGGGGTTCACAGGAAACATATGGCCCTTTAATTGCCTCACTGCTGCACATAGGCATGGATGGCTGCCTCGCTAGGGTACAGCTCTGAGACCGCAGTGCATTTGCTAAGAGCACTGGCTGTAGCTCTCTCAAACAAGATTTGGAATGCCTGAGCAGTGCCGGGGCATCCTTGCTTCCCATCCACTCATTCCCAGGGCAGGGAAAGGTGGTTGTGCCTGGGAAGGCACTTGTTTTGGGAAGGGAATGCCATGGAGAAGGACCCATGAGGGGTCCTGCCCTCCCCTGCAGGAGGACCACACCAGGGATCTGGGAGGAAAAGCCACTTTGCAGCATCTGCTGCTGAAGGCAGCGCTGGCACAAGGCTTCCAGCCCTCCTTCCCCCTAGCGCTGCGGGCCCCGGGGTAGCTCAGTGGAGAAAGGCATCCTGTGGCTCAGCCTGAAGGAAAAGCCTTTGGCCAAATGTGCAGGAGGGACTTCAGAGGGGTTCCCTGTTTGCTGGCCCCGTGTCCTACTGCCTCTAACCAACTTTTTAATTAAACCAGTGTGAACTGAGCAGGCTCCGAGCAGGTTCCAAACAGGCTTCTCTGCATCAAAACTGCCCTGGCCTTCAGAGCCCACCGCAGACCACTTCTGCAAACAGCTCAGAGCAAACAGCCCTCTCTTGCAATAAAAGTTTCCAAAATGGCACCTTCGGTCCGTGCTAATGGTTCTGAGGAAGGGTCCTCCTCAGCTGCCTTTGCCTGGCTTTGTTTCTCCTGGCAGCAATGCTCCTTGCACTCGAGCAAGGCGTTTTTAACGGCTGATGGAAAACAGGCAGCCCTGGCTCTGTCAGTTAGGATTCGCCAAGAGTCTGAAATCCCCAGCCTTATCTCCCAGCTGCCTCTCTTCTCCCTCTGGGGCCAGAGGCAGGGGGCGAGCAGGATGGGAC